CGCTTTGAAAATACAAAACTCTCCTACTTAGCAGCTGTTACTGAAAGGACTCTGGAGAGGGGAAGGCTGTTTGTGCAGCTGCCAAAGGAAAGATGCCTTACAGAGGGCGGCGGCTGCCACCCTGGGAGGAGACAGCTGTACCCGCCCTGCCCTGTGTCCTGTCCTTGCTGTTATAGATGTAAAAGTTCTTCCAAGATCCCTGGACTTTGGAGATTAGAGTTTTAACTGTGGGTGGTTTTTGTTTTTTGTTTTTTGTTTTTATCTGTGGGCAAGTTTTATCTTGCTCCCTCAAGGTGATATCTTTTAATTGGTTGTCCAGAGTTAATACAACTTTAATAAAATTGACATCTCTGTTTCTGAGAGGATCTAAACATCTTGGGATATTTTCTACATTTCTTCTCTCTTTACAAGTAATGTAAAGTAACCCACAGAACTAACATCTCTGGCAGGACAGAGGGTGTTTCCCTCTGACACGTTTGCTGCTCTGTTCTAGATTGTTCATTGACTTTTTTTTTTGGCAGTTTTTGGCCAGGGCCGGGTTCGAACCCACCACCTCTGGTATAGGGGCTGGCACCCTACTCCTTTGAGCCACAGGCACCGCCCCTGTTCATTGACTTTTACTGTACTTCTAGGTTACCCTTAACCTACATGCTAGGTGACCTCGGGTGAGTCATCAACCTCTATGAGTGTCAGTTTCACAAGGAAATCCTAGAGATGCCTGGAGGACAGAACAAAGCAATTCACATAAAGCACCTAACAGTGCCTGGCCAGGTGTCTTTATACCCAGGCATCTCACTCTGGCAGCTCTGGTCCTCCATCTGTTTATTTGTTGATTCATTCAGCAAACACCAGATGGAGACAGGCTGGTCAGCACTGCGGCTTCTGGATAAATGTTCTTTTCCTTCCCCCTTCACTCCCCAAAGAAGAGACATGACCTTCAAGTAGGGCCACATGTGACCGACCACCCATTCCTCAAGTGGTAGACAGACCCACAGAATTTCTGAGAGGGGAGAGATGACCTGTTGTTAAGCTATGAGAGTGAGAAGAGAAGCTGGGAGAATAGGCTAGAATTTGAGAGGGGAAAGGAAAGCTTGCCAGGCAGAGAACGGGGAGAGCATAGTCAGGCAGCAGAGCCTTAGGACACGTGAAGCTGATGATCCTGGTCTTGGACATGAGGAGAGAAAGCTGAATCACACAATAGGGCCAGACAGTAGGCCATGGGTAAGAGGAAGAACCAAGGTTCTGCTCACTGGACAAGGGGAAGTCACTACAACATTTCAATCAGAAATCACTTGCATCCCTCAAGAACCTAAGAAACAATTTTTGAGCTGAGAGACTGTTGCAAGGGCCTGAGCAAGAAGCACCAAGCAGGGTGAGCTGTAATGGAGTGGGGGGTGGGGATGTCCCTCCCAAGGTCATAGGAAAAGGCCACCCCCACCACCTGCAAACCTCACCCAAGAGATGCTGAGACTGGCCCTGCCACCCCTCACAGGCCCCATGTGGGCCACCCTGGGACCACACCTTATGAAACATCAGATGTGGACACATGCAGGAAGGCAGAGAGGCAGAGAATCCCTCCAAACAGGCTGCTGCTGCAGAGGGAGGAGCTGGTGGATACAGAAAGGAAAGAGGGTCAGGTGATGCCTCAGACATAAGCCTGAAGGAAAACTGGGAAGTCTTTGGATTTGGGGGTATGAGGGAGAGTCAGCAGTCAAAGGTGACACTGAGATTTCCAGACTGAGTAGGAGGATGGTGAGGCAGGAACAGAAACAGAGAAGTCAGAAGGAAGAGCTGGTGGCAGGGGAGGACTTTGAGTTTGACATGACAGAGTGATATCAGATAGAAATGGACAGTTGGGTTTTAAAAACAGAACTGGGGCCAGGAGTAGTAGTTCATGCCTGTAATCCTAGTACTCTGGGAAGCCAAGGTGGTAGAATTGCCAGAGTTCAAGACCAGCCTGAGCAAGAGCAAGATAGCCCCACCCCACCGCTCTGACTCTACTAAAAACAGAAAAGCTAGCTGGGTGTGGTGGCATGCACCAGTAGTCCCAGCTACTCAAAAGGGTGAGGCAGGAGGATCACTTAGGGCTAGAAGTTTGAGGTTGCAGTGAGCTAGGATGGCACCACTACACTCTACCCATGAGGACAGAGCAAGACCATGTCTCAAAAACAACAACAACAACAAGAAAAACGGAACTGGAACCAGGGGGGATGCCGAGACAGATGTGAGGAACCAACAAAATCACCAGCAAAACTCACCATGTGGTTTCTCTGTGACAGGCCCTTGACACATATCATCTCAGTGAATCCTCACCGCCTTTTACACTTACCAAGGAGGAAACAGAAACAGGAGGCAAAGCATCCTGTCCGAAGTCACACAAGCTACCAGGTGGCAGGGAGGGGACTTACTAGAACCCATGCATCTGAGGTTTAGAAATGACTCTAAAGCAGGCGAGGTGGCTCACGCCTGTAATCGTAGCACTCTGGGAGGCAGAGGCAAGTGGATTACTTGGGCTTGAGAGTTCAAGACCAGCCTGAGCAAGAGTAAGACCTCATCTCTATTAAAAAGAGAGAAACTAGCTCGGCACCTGTGGCTCAAGCGGCTGAGGCGCCAGCCACACACACCTGAGCTGGTGGGTTTGAATCCAGCCCAGGCCCACCAAATAACAATGACAGCTGCAACCAAAAAAATAGCTGGGCGTTGTGGCAGGTGCCTATAGTCCCAGCTACTTTAAGGAGGCAGAGGCAGGAGAATTGCTTGAGCTCAGGAGTTGGAGGTTGCTGTGAGCTATGATGCCACAACACTCTACCCAGGGAGATAGCTTGAGGCTCTGTCTCAAATAAAAGAAAATAAAATAAAAAATAAAAATAGAGAAACTGAGTGGCGCCTGTGGCTCAGTGAGTAGGGCACCAGCCCCATATACCAAGGGTGGCGGATTTGAACCTGGCCCCGGCCAAACTGCAACGACAACAAAAAAAGGGCCAGGCATTGTGGTGGGCACCTGTAGTCCCAGTTACTCAGAGGCTAAGGCAAGAGAATCACCTAAGCCCAAGAGCTGGAGGTTGCTGTGAACTGTGACGCCATAGCACTCTACTGAGGGAAATAAAGTGAGACTCT